ATCTTGGCCTTCCTGTGACATACTGAAAATTAACTGCCTAGAGGTTGTCAGTCATTCGAGAAACAAGGAGCCTACAGTGAAAAGCCTGAATGAGGAAGGCAGACACTATCAAAAGAACACCTGACTTCTCTCCCCTGAAAAGATTTGGCAAAACCCTCCTGAATCATGGCACTTAGTGGAATGTTTCCAATTTCTTGTGACTTGCAGATTAAAAACAGTGCTCCATTCCAATTCCAGGTCAGCTGGCTCTTGCTAGGTCTCAGCAGAAAAGAAATTCAGCACCCGCTGCAGTTACAGAGTGTTCTGCAACGTGGAGGGGGCTGGAGGCATGTGGGACAAAGGTCACCTCCAGGTCCCTACTGGAGCAGGCAAGCAGGCCCATTCAGAAGTGCATTGTGCTCAGACAAAAGGGAAGGGAAATGGCAGGTGAGTGGCTCCAATTTCTGTAAACAAGGATGATGCACCTTACTAAACAGCAAGTGGAAAAACCGGCAAGAGCACAGAATCTGTGTGGAACACTCTAAAGCGCTGCTGTGGGAGGTGCAGCCCATACTTCATTTGTGGGCTTATTTTCTAATAAGGAAAAGTCATCAAATAATGCATTCCTTGTGATTTTCTCCGCTGGATTTGGAAGCAGGAAGGGGACTTCTTGCTTATTACTCGTGTTCTCCTGAAGCCTCAGTATCACCAGCTGTAACCTGGGACAGTGCCGTGTACATGTTGTAGGAGTCGGGGATGAAGTAACGTGTTATACTTTCCTCTGTGTAACTGAGATGGAGGAAAGAGAAAGAAAGAATTTGCTCAAAATACAATCAATGAGGCCTGGAGGGACTGCCACCCATCAGGGGAGCAGCCCTGATCCGAAATCAGCCTTTCTTTTTATTGACAAGGAAGTTTCACAAGAAAAATCTGTTGATTCAATCATCAAAGAAGGACATAAAGACAGGCAGTGTAAAGCTAGTAACAACAGTAAATTAACAATGTGACATTCCAGAATGTAATTTGTAAAAAGCTAGGTTAATTCACCAACAGCTTGTCCTTAGTAAACATTTTCTTTTCCACATACTTCCTACAGCAATTTCCTTAGCATATTTAAACAGCATTCAAGGAGTTTCCTTAACATATCTCAAGAACAATAAGTAGGTTAAATAGTCAATAGTCATTCAAGCTAGAATCAAACCAGCAACCTAAAACAGTCAAAGTACACAATTCCATCCCTCAACAGTGATTAGAATTGATTAGATGGCTTTTGCCAACCTTATCTGTGGACTTTTGTCCCATATTCAAGAACCTTTTGGTTCATTCATTACCTAAAAATCCTATTCTAAGATCAAAGGAGAATCAAGATTTCTAACCCACTACAGTAACACAGCAGGTCAAGTGCTCAGCACGATGCTCGTGAACTCTTAGGTTCTCAATAAGTGGTGGCCCCTAGGATGGTTCTAAGATTATTAAGAAAACTTCACTCCAGAGTAGCTCATGTGATCCCTTGAAAGAGGTGCCTCTCAAACCATGTTTCCCGGGAAAGCCTTCTGTGATTCAAGGAAATTGTTTTAAATTCCATTTTAAAAGTTCCTCCCCAATGACTCCAAATAATTATGATCTAGGCAGTATGTCGATAGTGGCAAGAATATTAGGCTTTGAAATCAGGCTGATATGGGTTTGAACCCTTGTTTTATTACCTGTGACTCTGAGCAAATGGTTCAGCCTCTGTGTCCCCGTCAACTATTTCACCACGTGGTTGAGAAAATTAAATGAAATGATATACATTGAGCTTCTTGCACAGTGGCTTGCTCATAACAGGCACTTAATAATATCTTTCCAATGAAACTCATTACTTTCAAAAAGACTAGACACATACACAAACAACTGTCTTGCGGTTGTCTCCCTTGACTCTATCTCTTTACAACAGGTATTTTCTAGAATACAAATGGAAGGCTTGAAACCAAAGCTGTTCATAAATGCTTTCCACCAAACACATGAACATTAACAGAAACAGGTATTTTTAAAAATGTATCTTAGATTCTAAAAGTCATACATGTCAAATTGTCTGCCAAAAATAATTATCAAATGACCACATGGCCTAAGGAAACAAGATAATTGCAGAGAAGTTGCTGGTCCTGCTGCAAACCAGACCCTTTAGAAGAATGCAGATGTCTTCCCCCACCAACTAAATCAGAATTCCTGGGGGTGGGGTCTGGCATTAATATTTTTAAAGTTTGCCCAGGCTTGAGGAGCACTAAGCACTTGTCTGAAGCCTCACGACCTTCCTCTCCCTGGCCACAAACTCCACCAAGACATAACAGAACAAAGGAGATACATAACTGAGAAGCAAAGAATGGAAAGTATTGATCTCCTGGTCTGCCCCACTCACCAATATCTGCATTTCCAAACATACTGCTAAAATTTAAAGCCTGGTTCCAACTGAGATAACATGCAAGGGAACTTTAAGTTGTGAGAACCAAATTAAAGCATCAGAAGGACTCTAAATGGAAAAGGAGGCCATCTGCAGCAGGCAAAGTTTCCAGGCTTTCCTCAGCTTCAAATGACACAAAGTAGCCCGGAGCCCCTGCCTACCTGTTTTTCTTTACTGTAGATTTCAAAGGTTTGACAAGTATGAAAAGCCACTACAACACATATACACCAAAAAGTTTGCTTCTCCATCAAAACCTCTAAGACTTTATATAGCAGGAGCAAACCCAAGCAGAAAGTGAGTTGTAAGAGGGAGAGAACGTAATAATGCAACACACATATACACCAAAAAGTTTGCTTCTCCATCAAAACCTCTAAGACTTTTTATAGCAGGAGCAAACCCAAGCAGAAAGTGAGTTGTAAGAGGGAGAGAACGTAATAATGCAAGCAAACTAACATCCTGAAGTCTATTTAAGAGCAGACAATTCACACTCCCCAACCTTTCCCCACTGGACTCAGATCAAAACCAGGTGGTGACTTTCACAAAATGAATTATTTTATAACTTGGGGTTCCCAGTACAACATTTGCATAATCATTGACTTCCTTGTGTTACCAATTCCAAAAGCTGCCAGCAGATACTCTTTTCCTTACCTGGGAAAGGAGACAGGAATCATTTCTGGCCAGGTTCTCACTGCTTCCCACACTTTGCCATGTGGAACTCTCCACATCCACACATGTGGATCCTCAGCTACCTGGCTCTGCCTTGGCCAGCTCCTCTGCATAAAATGCTCCCTTCCTCTTCTTGCCCTGGAAACTACATTTTTCGTTTTTCTTCAATACCCAGCTCACAGCTCACACATTCCCTCTGCTGTGAAATTTCTTCTTTCCTGGATGACCCAGTGGTTGCTTTTCCTTCCCACCGCTCTAGGCAGTGGCAACAGGCGACAAGAGTCTGCAAACTATGGCCCTTGTGCCCGTTTTCTACGGCTCCTAAGCTAGTTTCATACATGTGAAAATCTTGGGGGAAAAAAATCAAAAGATTTCATGACACACGAAAATCCTATTAAATTCAATATCCATAAATCATATTAGATTCAATGTCCATAAATAAAGTTTTATTGGAACACAGCCTCACCCGTTCATTTACATTTTGCCCATGGATGCTTTCTCTATAATGCAGAGTTGAGTAGTTCCCAGAGTCCGGATGACTGAAAAACCTCAAATATTTAATGTCTGGCCCTTCACAGGAAGTATGCCAACCCCTGACCTAAAAGGCTAAGACTGCCTTTCATTTATTTTTGCACATTGAGTACTAGAACCAGCAAACCCAAAACGTGGAAAAATTGCTACCACAGTTTCAAACGTTAATCAAAATGAAGAACCTTGTTTCTAAACAATCATTGATTAAATCTGTATTTCTTGGGTGGTCATAACCATGTAAGATGCTGCTATGTTGTTTAAAGTGTCACTTCTAAAGTTCAATGTTGTTTAAAAACCCAAATAATTAGTTTGCTTCTTGAATTATCTGTGGTAACTCAGAGGTCCCCCGCTACTGGCAGGGCTGCACTTGGAGAGAAGCGTCAACTGCTAACTGGTACAGAAACATCCCCTCACTTCTACCTTGGATGAGTCCATTGTAACGCTTAGGAAAGGCGGCAAAGCTACCAGCAGGCAGGTAGAGCATGCATCTTCCTCCTGGGAAAGCCTGTTTGCTGATCACAGGATGTGGAATCGTAAACCCTTCTTTTCACAGATGAGGAAACTGAGGCCCAGAGAGGAAGCAATATTTTCAAGCAAAACTAAGGTCCCTCCACCTCGAATCTCGATGCCTTCCCTGGGCGCACCTTCTTGCTCACTTCAATAAAAGCAGACTTGTCACAACCCTTCCCCTACTTTTTCTTCCTTCGTCAGACCCCAGGGGATCCCGCCTCTCATCCTGACAGCCCACCTGGCCACTAGAGCCAAGTGTTGGCAGGACAGTGGGCTTTCAAGAGTCTTCCTGGTGCCCTGGCCTACACCTGAAGTCTAGATTCTCAGGGAACAGTCTGGAAACCGGAGTTGAGGGAGGACGAGGGAGCCAGCCCGTCTGGAAACCGTAGCTGAGGGAGGACGGCGGAGCGAGCTCGTCACAGGACACCTCAGAACGCAGCCATGATGGGCGTGCCAAGATCCCCAAAGAATCGCTTTCTTTTCCAGGCCAGAAGCTGTCCCTGAGGTAGCCTGTCCACAGAACTCGGGGTTTGGGTGCTGCTCCTGGCTGGGGGTGGGGCCCTGCTCCAGGGAGCCCCTCCCGGAACCCGGCCCAGCGCTTACCGCGGCCTGGCGGAGGAGTGGGCGGCTCTATCGGAGCGGAGGGGGCGGGGTCGGGGCGGTCCTTCCTGCAGACGATGGTTGCCATGGGAACCACAGACAGGGGGCCAAGTACAAGGGCAGCCCAAGGGCGTCCCCGGACGCCTGGGCCCAGACACACACAAGACACTCGGCACAAAGAGAAACTTAAACAATCTTTATTTCCAAACTCGAGCAGGGTTAACTCTAACCTGGCTAATAGCACGCCTGGGCCCAGACACACACAAGACACTCGGCACAAAGCGAAACTTAAACAATCTTTATTTCCAAACTCGAGCAGGGTTAACTCTAACCTGGCTAATAGCAAAAACATCTCTAACAAGATCAAAGATGGAGGTGCAGACCCAATAAAGATTGTCTCTTTAAAAAAAGGATTGAAAAAAATATGTAATCTGCATAAGTATCTTTTCAAAAAGTAAAATTCTCCAGTGTTGTAGAAAAAAGTATACCAGTGATTTCTGTCCATAAAAAACAGAATTTGGCAGTCTGTGTTGCCTTAAAAACTCCAACTCAGGATAACTCTAGGAGAAAATCACCCATTTAAAAAAAAATTTTTTTTTAAATCCCCTTTCTCCTCTTGTTCAACTTCCACCGCTTATTCCAAGAAACACCCCCAAATTACAGGATAAACAAGACCCAGCTCATTTCTCTCAGCCTCTATCTGTTAAGACTCAAACCAAGGACTATTCCTACGGAATCTTCACCTCTACTATGATCAGGACGCCGTTCCCTAATTCCTGGGCCAGATTTCCAGAAACTTGCAAAACATCTCCCTGCCTCCTTCAAGGAGGAGCCTAAGGGCCCCTTGAAAGACCAAAAGGGCAGGCAGTTCTTCTGGAATGCTTGTGGGCTGCGCAGGGGATGAAGGTGCTTCTTTTATAACAAAAACAGCCAACACCTTATAAGCAGGAGTCTAACCTACCGGGTAAAAAGTAGCAGCAGGTACCAAACTACTTGCTGTACAAAAAGGTGCGCACCTCCCCCTTTACTCGTAAAGGTAAGGGAGCTGAAGAGAGCCAGGTGAGTATTTGACCTCATCTGAATTTTAGGCCAAAGCCATGGTGCAGAGAAAGACATTCGGTCTTTGCTGTTTCTGCCATTTGTGGCAGCCTGGTTCACACTGCTTTCCGGAAGCTTTTTCCCTTTATGCAAGAGTACTTAAGAATTAATAGAGAACTTTTCCATTCAACTTCAGAACTGGCGAATACTTCAATAGCAGTTTCTCAAAACCACTGATGGAGACAGAACACCCCTCAGTTCAGGATCACTCATAGCTCCTTCCAGTCGATGGGCTTCTTGCCAGACTTCTGCAGCAGCTCGTTGGTTTTAGAAAAATGTCTGCATCCAAAGAACCCTCTATACACGGACAACGGGGAGGGATGAGCAGTCTGCAGTACATGGTGCCGCTTCTGAAAAAGAACCAGAGAATAAGAGGTGGCAGATGTGGGTCTATGGCTTTGCAGTTTATGGCTATATAATGCCCCTTTGACCTCTCTACACTCTTCCACCTTCCAAAGTGCATATACCTCCAGCATTTACATTAGAACAGAAGTCCATTTGTTAATTCATCTGTAGTGCAACCAACTACCTTTGCTAGCCTCTGACGATACAAAGAGGACCAGTCTCACCCTTCAACTGAGCAATCTCTGTGCCATTTTAAGTGCCCATATCTTATTATCCAGCAATTCCACTGCTAAGATTGTTTGCGGAAGGACACCATGATGCATATACCTACACAGATGTGTGTAGAAGGGGGCTCACTGCAGCACTGCTTCTATAAGCTAAAACCTAATATAAATCCAGCCTTATGCAACTGGCTATATAATATTCTTCTAATGTTCCTACAGTGGAACACCACATAGCTTCTAGAAGAACAAAGTCAAGCTGTGTATGAGGGTACTTCAAAAAGTTCACGAAAAAATGGTATTAAAAGGGCCGGCCCGTGGCTCACTCGGGAGAGTGCGGTGCTGATAACACCAAGGCCGCAGGTTCGGATCCTATATAGGGATGGCCGGTTTGCTCACTGGCTGAGCGTGGTGCTGACAACACCAAGCCAAGGGTTGAGATCCCCTTACCGGTCATCTTTAAAAAAAAAAAAAAAAAGGTATTAAAAGATAATATGAATGTTTCTATAAACTTTTTTTAAGACCCCTTATGTACTGATATGGGAAGACCTCCAAAATTTACCAAGTGAAAAAAAGGCAAGGTCAAGTGGTAAATACATTTTAAGTTTCTTCGGAAAAATACCAAAGACACTATAATAAAGCAGCTCCTTAGGGAAAGGAAGCAGTGGAAGCCGTTTATTTTCCATTTTGTACTTTTCCATACTGTCTGAATTGCCTCAGCACTAAAATGGAATGCTTTGATTTTTTAAAGGACCGCTGTAGTTACCTGAGCATGGAGACTATGAACCATTATTGTTTTCCTCTTTACTCTTTTCTTTATTTAAATAAAAACCACCTAACAAATCATTGTTTTTCAAAACATCCCTGCCTTCAAGGTGCTCAGTCTAGGAGGGGTGGTCATTAGAGCCAGGCGGCCCAGCATGGTTAAGAGCACAGAGCCTGGAGCTGGTCTGCCTGGGTTAGGCCCCAGCTCTGCCACTGAGTAGTGAGTAAGCATGAGAAGTCCCTGCAGCTCTCCAAGCTGCACTTCAGTTTTCATCTATAAATTGGGAGTAACAACAACATCAAGCTTATGAAGCTACCGTGAAGGGTCAAATGAACGACGACGTGTTCAGAGTGTTATGAGAAGTGATACAGGTCAAGCTCTTAACACTCTTCGGCCATTAGCACAGGCCTGTCAGGCTCCCAGGCAGAAGACCTCTGCGCCCTGGGCAGAGGAAGCAGACTGCGCAAAGGCAGGCAGGGAAGTGGGGCAAAGTGAAAAAGTGCAGGCGGTTCAGGCAGCCTGGAGCTCAAAGTGGAAAAAGGGGAGTTATGGCAGAGAGGCTGGCTGGGGGCCATCCCCCCAAAACCAGCTTGCCAGCCTAAGCCAAGGCCTTACAGACATCCAGGTGAGGTCAGATGAAGGCCTGAACCAAGGCAAAGGGGGTAAGGCAGAGAAGAATTAGAGAGACAGTAGGAGGGAAGAAAGAATACAGATAATGAATGGCTGACTGCATAGGGGAAGTGAGGGGGGAAACAGAAGGAGGGGAGGAGTGGGAGAGAGAGGTGCGTATGTGCCAAGGAGGGGCACAGACTTCTGGTTGAACAACTGGGCAGATGGTGGTATTTTTTATTGCTGAGGAGCAGCAAGTTTAGTGAGAGACGGATGGAGAAAGACAAATGCAGTCTGGACAATGTTGAATTTGATGTGCGATGGGACACTAGTAAGGAGGCAGGTGAATGTCTAGATCTAGTGCTCGGGAGACACCCGGCTGAGATAAACAACTTGGTTTTAAAGATCAAACTACTTCTACAACTGTTTGCTTTCAGACCCAAACCATGTCTAATAATAATAAAGATGACCAATATAAAGAATAAGAACGGCCATATACCTAAGGCACAGAGGTTAGAAATTACTCTCATACACATCTTGAGTACCTACGTAATCAGATCCTAGCAATGCATACAAGTTCAGATCTTAGGTCATGCATGCAAGATTATTTTCCACTGCTATTCCCTTCCTTTAGAAAGAAAACCCCTGAAAATATCTTGTTCATTCATATAGACCCTTTATAAGGGAAAGAAACTTTTACATCTGAAAATCTGACTTATGTACTGTATTGCTACTTGCTTGTATATGCCTAGAGACCCTAGAGGGATACATCAGAAACTAAAACCAGTGCTTACCCAAGCTGGGGAGGAATTGAACAGATGGGAACTAGGATGGAAGGGAGACTTTTTACCACATATCTTAATACACTTTATTTTTTAACCATGGGAATCTATTACCTTAAAAAAAACTTAATTGAAACATAAAGAAAATACTCCATTTAAGAGAAAATAAGGGCGATAATTAATATGTGAGTGAAGTCTCTAGACTTAACTGTTCCTGGCGTAGAATCATGCTCAGCTGTTGGAAGACCACACTGGGCCTGCCCAGGTGAAGAGATTGCTCAGCAGGTGCTCAGGAACACATGGTAGCAAGCTCCGCAGAGCAGGCTCTAATCCTGGCTCTGCCACTCACTGCAAATTTGGGCAAGTGACTTCATCTCTCTAAGAACCAAAGTGGGGATGGATAAGTGTGTTCTTACATGCATAGCCTTTGTGAGAGTTAAGTGAAACTGCGTGAAAAGCACTTGACCCAGTGCTGGACACAGGGAAGGGGTTCACTGTAGTTGGGACATTTCAGATACCCCAGAAACTATTGTTGGGTCACCTCAGTTAAGCCCTTTTCCTTCATTACTGAACATTTACTCTAAAATCTTCCCCCACCCTCACTTCCCAGTTCAGTGTCTCCTCCTCCATCAAACACCATGGCCTCTAGTCTACCACGGTCATCTTGGACAGAACTCACAGCGCAGCACAGTGTGGCAGCAGTGGGAACGGTGAGAAGCAGTAGGATAGGGACGTTTTTAGGAGGTGGAGTTGACAGGATTTACTGATGCAATGAATGGATTTAAGGGGATGTGGGGAAGGAGAGGATTTAAGGATGGTTTCTAGGTTTTTGATCTCAGCAGCTACATACAGCAGCTCCCCCTTATCCATGGGGGATACATTCCAGCACCCCCAGTGGATGCCTAAAACCTCAGATAGTAGCGACCCCAACTGCTGTCGACAGGAACACATTTCTGTTCATGTCTTCCATGCACAAATTCAGTGTCTCTTACGTCTTGACTAAGCACTTATCATGCACTATGGCCATAACTTATGCAGTTTGAGGTGCAACGGTAAAATCTCTTTTCCCTTCTTCACAATCTCACAGAAAGAAGATTCGTTATTACCTAGACCCTAGCAACTTCAGCATTTGATTTTTCTTTCCTTATTAAGTCAAGAACTTCCAACTTTTCACACAGAGGAAGCACTTTACGGCTTTTCTTTAACATATCTCAAGTGCCAGCACCCCTACTCTTGTGCTTTGGGGCCATCACTGAGTAAAATAAGGGTGACTTAACACAAGCACTGCAATACAGCAACAGTTGATCTGATAACTGAGATGGCTACTAAGTGACTAACGGGTGGGGAGCATCTACAGTGTGGATACACTGGATAAAAAGGGATGATTCACATCCCAAGCGGGATGGCATGAGATTCCATCATGCTACTCAGAATGATGCGCTATTTAAAACTCATTAATTTTTTATTTCTGGAATTTTCCTCATAATATTTTCAGACTGAGGTTGACAGTGGGTTAAGTGAAACCATGGATAAGGGTGGCCTACTGAAAAGAGAGGTAGCAAGCTGGGGGAGGATGCAGGGAGGGAAGCCTGGTCATGTTGGGTATTAGCAATTAAAGTTTAATGATTACCACGAATAGTATTTTCAGGGATAAGTTAAATTTGTGATTAAGTGTAATTCTTTGTTTTCTATATGCTCCCAAATTTCTTGGAAACAAGACTCTTGCCTCATTCATCACTTATAGCAAGCACACCTGTTAAATAAATGGTACCCAGGGACCTTTGTATCTTATACGCATACAGCGACTTTAGGCCTATATTACTACCTATGTTAAATCACAAGTTGGTCAGTTGCTTTCCTCATACACAATTCATTATTCCTATAACTTGTCTGAATTCTGCTCAATTTTCAATGGAAAACTCAAGTCTAATTATAATAGCCTTAAGGGAAAATAAAAATTTTGTGACCTGTATTTTCCAGGACCACATAGCAAAGATTGCTAGAATTCATTAAACTGTTTAAAGTGTTAAAAAAAACGTACCCTGTCAATTGCACTGCCCTTCCTCTGAGCATAAGAGCCCCAGAGCAAGAAGACAAGGCCATTCGAATTTTGATTTAGCCAGGACACAACTGCATCAGTAAACTGCTCCCAACCTCTCTCCTTATGAGAATTGGCTTGATGAGCCCGAACTGTGAGCACAGCATTGAGTAGGAGAACACCTACAAACACACACCAAAGAAACACATTAAAAGTAGCCTCAAACAAATCAGCCCAAACACTCAACAACAGGAGTTAGACACATGACGAAACCATCCGCTTGATGGGATCCAGTGTTGCTGTCTGAAGAAAGTCATAAAGGAAGCATTACCATATGACCAGTAGTGACCTCTGGGAGAGGAAATAAGAGGGCATTTTATTTTTTGCCCTTTTAGCATCTTCCAGTGAACATGCATTATATCCCTCGGCAGAAGAAAAGGTATCTTGTAGATAGGTCTTAAACACACGCACAAGCCTCGTGTCAAATGAGCAGAGTGAGGCCACCTTCCAAATGGTCAAAGTCAGGTTGAGTGGATAAACTTAAAATATTAACAAGGAACAAACTTTTCTTTCAAATTATAATTAAAACATGAAAGAAAATATTGCCCACAGGATAAAACCAAGATACTATATATGTTTTTTTTTACTTTTATAAATTAGCCATTTTATCAGAGCTCTCTAGAGTTCTTTATGGCAACCTTTTAAAAATATAAACAAGCAGGATAGAAAAAAGACTGTTGACATCAGTTCAAAATATATCTAGCAGTGGTTGGTTTACCTTGTTTGGCCCACCCAGATAAATCTCCATGGCCAGGATGAACAAAACCATCGATGTCAGTAGACAGCTCTTTATAAATGTTTTCCAAACTGAAAGCAAGCCGGAAGAAAAACATAAAGCAGAATCTTAAGTCTAATTTTGAAAGTTCAGTAACCTCCAAGATATGTGTGGAAAGGTTAGAGATTACAGCCTATAAAGCCAGCACTTGGAAAAGACAATGGAACATAAGGCAGGGATTAATGAGATAAAAACCACCAGTCATCCGACAGGTAGATCTGTCCAGGTCCTTTATTTTGGTCTGTGGCTGGATTTAAGGAATAGCACTTTGGAAGACCTAAATAAATTAGCCCGGGGCTGGCCAGTTAGCTCAGTTGGTTATGGCATAGCCTTATAACACCAAGGTCGTGGGTTCAGATCCCTGTACTGGTCAGGTGCCACCCCCCCCCAACACAACACTACCCATAGTAAATTAGCCCAGCGATTGACAACTAATGCTCAGTAACAGTTTTATATCTCTCTGTATTTATAATATTTGTATATATTATATATAAAGTCCTTCAAAGCAGTGATTCTTAACCAGGAGTGATTTTGCCCCCCAATGTCTAGACATTTTTCATTATCACAACTGGGGGGTGTACACTGGCATCTAGTGGGTTGAGGCCAGGGATGCTGCTCAACATTCTGCAACGCACAGGACAGCTCTTCCCCACCCCCAACAAAGAATGACTCAGCTCCAAATAGTGCTGAGATTGAAAGATCCAGCTCCAAAGGCTAGTGAAAGTCCCCCACACAGTCACACCTGCAATATACACAGTACACATTGAAAGTGATCACGATTGGACCAGAGTCCATCTGTAAAGCAATCATACCTGGGCGGAGGTGGAACAGGTCTTTGAACACTAAAGCAGAGCCCATGAGCTTGATTGGGTCCATGATATGGATCCTGTCCCAGGATGACAACCTTCACCTGTGAACAGCAGGTGGCAAGGAATGAAACAATACTGTAGTGTAGGCAGTCTACATGAACAGCTGGCTGACTGATCACCTGCACAAAGCGACACACCATGAGAAGGGGAGCCCCGTCTTGATCCAACTGAGAACCACAGGAAGGGAGTGACTGACTGGGCACCATTACTTCCCATTACCAAATTATCCTTCACTCAATCCCCCTGCCACGCCACCCCACCCCCTTTCTCTGACAAGCGTTTCAAACAAGTTGGGGTCAACATTGCTTTCTCCCTCTTCATTTTTCAAATCACAAAGGTAGATACACCCTTGTAACAAGTACAACCATTCAGAAACATATAAAGTAGTTAGCTATCTCCTAGTCACCCCTGTCCTATCCTGAGTTAACCATTTTTTATCACCTAAGTAGTTAGGGTCCTATACTCATTACCCTACATTCTGTATTTCTCACGTTGTACATTTGAGGCACCCTTCAAGTCAACACAGCACATCCTTACACACTGTTGGTTTTATTTCTATGGACTAGATTCATAACAGCAGAGGTGCCAGTCAAAGGCCAAGTGTATTTTAAACTTTCACAAATGTGGGCCCAGTTACTTTCCAGTGAGTTGAAACAATCTGAATTCCCCATCAGCAGCACATGAGGGTGCCTGCTCCCCTACATCCTCTAGCAGATGAAACCAGAGAGAATGAGGTCGGGGGCAAGAGGGCCATGGAAGCGGGTGGTGAGAGGCAATGAGAAGTAATGAAGCCCTGTCACAGGAGGCACTGCCATGCACATAGGCACACCCTATCTTTCCAGCACCCGCCCCCGTCGCCTCCACTCCCATGCTTCCGTCCATGGTGTCCTTTCTCAGAATCTCCCTCCACAGCGGACATACTCTTTATCCTTCAAAATCCAGCTTCAGACAGCCCATAACCAGGAAGCTTTTGGGGACCTCTCTTCCCTTCCCTTGGTGCTCACACTGTCGCTAGCATATTTTCTGTCATGAAGCAACCTGTCCCGGAAGTGAAGCTTTTGGGCTCAGAGGCTCCAGCCTGGATGAGGGATGATCTTGGGCGAGCTACATAACCTCCCTGACCCTCGGAATGTATTCTCATCTCGTCTGCAAAGAAGCCCCTCAGAGATGCAGAGGTCTGATCCCTCTTTTCTGAGTGTTCCCTGTTTATATTGATCGTTGGTATTCAGAACAGGGCATAATATTCAAACAAGAAGCAAACTCATACTGAATTTAATAGGACTTAGTATTTCTTTTGTTTAACTTCAAAAAACAAGGAACTATGGGCTGGCCAGTTAGCTCACTTGTGAGAGCATGGTGCTGATATAACTCCAAGGTCAAGGGTTCAGATCCCCTTACAGGCCAATTCCGTACCTGCCAGCTGCCAAAATACAAAAACAAAGATCTTGCTCTAAAATGAATATTGTGAGATATTCTAAGTATTAGATGTGGCTGCCTTATCAAGATGGCTTATTAACTTATTTCATATCTATTTGATTTAATAGTCATTTGTTGCTTAATGACAGGGAACCACTGTGAGAAATGCGTTTTTTGTTGTTGTTGCACTAATATCACAGACTGTACTTAAACCTAGATGGCATAGCCTACTACACACCTAGAGTATATGGTACAGCCTCTGGCTCCTACATGAGTAATGCACTGTGCTTTGATACCACTGGGCGATAGGGATTTTTCAGCTCCATTATAATATTATGGGACCTTAGGCCGGCTCGTGGTTCACTCAGGAGAGTGTGGTGCTGATAACACCAAGGCCACGGGTTCGGATCCTACATAGGGATGGCCCGATGGCTCACTGGCTGAGCGTGGTGCTCACAACACCAAGCCAAGGGTTGAGATCCCCTTATCGGTCATCTTTTAATTGCTATTTGTGTCCTTTCAAATCTCTAAAGTAAGACATGCTAAAAATAATTGCAAATCTGTCTTCTGTGTATACTGTCGTAAAAACGAACAAATCTGAGGTCAGTGGTTGGACTCCCCCTGGTGTAGAGAGTGTTAACAAAAGAAAAACATTTCAACACATTCCTAATGCCTAACACATGCCCAGTTAAAGTCCAACCAGAAATGAGCTGAACTGAATGAGCAATGGAGATAAACTTTTCTTTAGCTCTTATTTCTCCTAGGAACATTACCCAGGAGAATGTATAACTTAGTGTCTAAGGAATCAAGAGCCAGTAGTTAGAAGATACAAAATGCACCAGTGGGATAGCATAAAACAAAACATCCCATAATCTCTTCAGCCTAGGATTTCAGAACAATTGTACTTTTACATTTTTTTTAAATTTGTTTTCTGTTTTGAAGCAATTTCCAGACAGCTGCAAGATGATGTAATACCAACATATTTTTAAAGGTATTTCTGTAAATGCTTATGAAAAAATTACTGCTTATTTTAAGAAAACATAAAACACAAAATTTCTTTTTTTTTTTTTAAAAGATGACTGGTAAAGGTTAAAAAGAGTAAATATAAGCTGAAATACAGTCAAACTTCACAATTTCAGTGTTTTATTTACTACTGAAATTATAGATTGCAGCTTAACTCCAGGGCCCTTAATTAAAAAATACATTTGATTCCCTCCCCTAATAAAATTCATCAACAACTTGTACTTACATCTCTTATGTCACACATTTGGGTCCATGTGAAGACTTGGTGTGGGGGTGGATAAACAGTATAATGTTTTCTTTCTTCTGCAACAAATCCCATTAGCTGATTTAAAGATAAACTAGACTTAAAATCAGATTCCCACTGGAAACCAATGAATTCAATAAGAAAACCTTTAATGAAGCATCATCTAACTCTTTGCCATGTTTTATATTCAAATTCTTTTAAAAACAATAAAAACAGTATCTGCTCCCTACATAACTTGCTCAATCTCACCAGTTCCCTCCCTCTTTCTGTGGCCTGCGTCAAAGTTGATTTGCACCTGGCTGCTTTAATTTCCTGATGGCGCCACCACCGCTCCGCCCCCCTTTCTAAAAACCAAGAAAGCTTTCATTCAGTCTGGCTGGTGGTTTTACTACGCCGGCCTTTCCTGGAGAGCAGACTAAGTGGCTTAAAAGAAGCCATGATATCATTTTACAGGCTTTAACAACTTTAACCAATATAAACGTGCACATTCAAAGCACGTCTTTATTTTTATCTCCTTTGTGCGAAAAAGGGGTTGAATGAGGGTCACTATGAGCCTATGAGAGCAATCTCCTATAAACGTGGACTTAGCCTGCTATAATAACAAAACAAAGGGCCAGTGGCCTCCACGTTTACTCCTATAAAAGGTGAACTTCCGCATTTACCTTTATAAAATACGGCTTCCCGAACTCTCCGCTGAGGTGCTTCTTCCAACTCTCACCAAAGCCCACGGGCACGTTGCGGGCCGCGAGTCTGAGCAGGGCCGCGGCCTTGTTCCTCTGGATGCGGACCAGCTGCTCAGGGCTCAGCGGCGAGGAGGGCGGCGTGCCGGGCTCGTCCTGCTCAGCCCGGGCCTTCTTGGCGGGGCTGTCCTGCAAGGGGTCCCCGCAGAGGCGGGTCACGAGCTGCAGCTGCCCCGTCCCGGGCGCCAGCAGCTTCCGGCCCAGACACAGTGGCCCACCACGGAAGATGCCCATTTGTGGAGCAGATCTGAGCAAAATCGGACCATGGGAGCCCAGGACTGGCCCCTGTCCGAAGATTTGGAGGCTGGTACTAAAGTGGGGCAGGGAGAGGGGCTGTGAGGCAGGCCCGCGGCGTCCCCCGAGAAATTCGCGCGACTAAGGACCAAGCACCGAGGCGCCCCGCCACGCCAGACCCGCCACTCGCATCCCCACGTGGCCTTTTCGCGGCAAAACCCTCCCCTCGGGGCCCCGCCCCCGCCCTCCTCGATTGGACAGCGGGCAGAGCTGGGCGGGCTGGCGGCGCGCCGATTGGCGCAGCGGGCCCGGAGGCTTGCCCCCATTGGCTGGCCCCGCAGCATGGCGACCGATGGGGGACGGCGGCATCTGTTTTGAAAACGAAAAGACTGTCCTGCACGCGGGGGCCCCGGCTTACCGAGTCAGCGGCGAGCCCCAGCAGCCCCTCGGTCAGGTGGGG